TGCCCAGCAATACAGAAAAAATAATGTATATTTTAAGCGTCAATGTTTTGATCTTGAATATCTCTAGAAGAGGCTGTTTCGAGTGGTGTACTGTACGTTGTACGATTGTCTTCTGTGCCAACGTCTTCTGACTGCTGCACAGCATCCACAGAGTAAACACTAAAGACATAAATAGACAAGATGGGAGTTAACATCCTGAGAGAGAACACTTTACACTTTAAAACATTTTTATTCAGCTATACAATTATAAACCTCATTTAAAAGGCAGATCTGTGGATAACACATCCCTGCTTTCATGAATCGCTTCACTATGCACATATTTGACATTCAATCATCATAAAACTTACGCAAAGGAGAATCCAGCAAGGTATAAGCCCGAGGACAATAGCCACAGGGACAATGATCGCCACAATCCATGCTACGTTTGTGCCATTGTTGGAGGTTGTAGTGTTTATAACTGTAGGGCGAACTGTGGTTGGAGAAGGTGTGGCGAGAAAAAGGGAGACCAAGCCAAAACTGTTGATATCATCGTCCGAAAAAACATACACAACATTGGCCTCAATCACGCTGGAATTACCCCTGTGGAGAGATAAAAATGTACAATGAGAAATGAAATAAAATAAATCAACTGAATACATCTCCCCTCACCCATGTACCAAAAGCTACCCACTGATATAAGCAGATCTCTTAAGAATTCCTGCTCGAAATAAAAGGAAAAAATTACTGAGCCAGAACTTACTTGAAATTGACATTATTGAAATTAAACTGAGTAGTTGTTTTATTTAGGATCTTGGACACCTGAATAGAGCAGAAATAAACAGATTAATTTGTTTATTACTATGGTGTGGTTAATGCCATTAAAATAAATCAATTTTAATTTCAGGGCAAGTTTTTTTGAAGTGTCTCTAACTCACAAATGTGTTTATATAGGTCTCGATCACTGAGTAGGTTTCATTCCTGAAATCAACTTTCTCAGACATGGATACATTGCTGATTTCAAATCCAAAGTTTAGAGAGAAGGAGGTTTTGTTGATTTCTTTTGAAAAAAATAAATAAAAATTAGTTGTGTGGTTATATGTGGATGATAAAATTTCACTTCTTTATTAATTATTAGAGAGCATTGCAGGTTTAAACGTTTATATTCATTCAAATAAAGCTATAAAAGCATACTACATAATGCACACCCTTTACATTCAAATGTTATATTCACAACAACAACAACAACAACAAGAACAACAACAAAGGAACGTAAACTCACCATTATAGGTGACATTCACAGAGCTCACAAGGTCATTCAGATTTCTGTCTGTGAGGGCTCGATTACTTTTTTGTTTCATTCCAATTATCAGAGAGTTAGTCAATTGTAGAACCATACTCTGACTTGGTAAAGTGCCCCGTGTTTTAAACACAAGGCTAACATATATAATCACCTTCCCAAGCCTGCAAAATACGGAACATTCATTTATTTAGATGATTTATTCCATGTCACCATCTATAGTTGTTTTTTATGGCAACAAAAAGGTAAAATCAGTTCAATACAATATGTTTAACAGTTAAGGGGGTCCCACACCGGACGAGAAGCGCAGCGCCGCGTCGCGCAGCGCCAGGTCTTTAAAATTCGAACACATTATTCTCTATGAGTGTACACACACCGGCGGCGCCATTCGGCGTCTGTCCGCGGCGCCCAGCTACGGCTCAGGACCTTGTTCAAAACCGTGCCACGCCACAGAGCGCCATTTGCATAGTTTTATATTAAATTTACATTTATTTGTCTCAAATCGTCGTTAATGTACATGGCTTCACCCCGTGCTGTTTTCACTCGGGTTAGCTAAACGCTAGCTAAATAAATACTATTGTATTATGTGACACAGTTGCCTAGACAACGGATAACGTTACAACAAAATAACAGACTCAACGTGATAGACACTTTTACTTGATTAACGTTCAAACATCAGCTATTATTCAATGAACATAAAAAAATAAATAATTAATCAAGATAAAACACACATCGTGCAGCTCTTCTACCAGGAGTTGATTAAAAATTGTTCTCGCGCGATTAGAATGTGCGCGTCCGGTGTGCGATACCTGGAGTTCTCCTAGACGTGGCGCGACGCGGCGCTGCGCTTCTCGTCCGGTGTGCGACCCACTTAAGTGTTACAGGAGTGGCAAGATGGAAGTTTGCAAAAGATAAAGAGAAATGTAACTGGCATTGCAAAATTGGACTGCAATTATTGCTCTTACAAGTTCGGAGTGGCGGTCGTTAAGTCTGTAAAATAAAGGACTAATTAGTGGAGAAAAATCCTGCTTTAAATTACAGTATTTGGTGTTTGTGGATAAATGTATTTAAAACATGTGTGGATGTGGTAATACCTCCAAACAGAAGTTCCTTGACAAAGGTGCTGTTTGTGTTCATGTTACTTTGTGAGAAAACATATGAAACATTGGCCTGAATCATGGTGTCAGCATCCCTGTGGGGAGAATAAAACATGCAATGAATGTCAAAAGCAAACAACTTTTTCTCACAAGTCATCTACTCGCATACTAAAAACTACTCTCTGACAAATACAGATTGAGACATTTTTGCTCAAATTAAAGTAAAAAAAACAAAAAACAATAACAAAGAAAACATTCAGAACTTACTTGAAATCAACTTGTTTGATATTAAACTGAGGAGCTGAGGGGTCATTTAGGATCTCAGTCAGCTGAAGAGTGGAGTAATAAATATAGAAATAAATGCATTTATTAAGGATAGAATAAGGCATATTCATTTTCAGGTCAAGTTTTTGTGAAAAAAAAACACTGTATCAAAGTGTCTCCAACTCACCAACTTGTTTATAGAGGTTTGGATTGAAATGTATGTATCATTCCTGAGTTGAATTTTCTCCGACATGGATACATTGCTGATTTCAAATCCAAATTGGAGAGCATAGGAGGTATCATTAATTCCTTAAAATATATATATAAAAAAAAAAATTAGTTGTGTGGTTATATGTGAGTGGTAAAACACCATTACACATTCATTTTCAGAATTGTATAATTGACTGAAACATTTATTATTTTCCCTGAAAGAAAGCTATTGTTACAGGTCTACACTATTTACACTATTTGCAATAAAATGTCAAATTTAGAACAAAAAGGAGCCTACAGTGGAGAGAAATACTCACTTATAAAGGTGACATTATTAAAGCTCACATCCGAAGTTTGTGTTGAGCCACCTTTAGTTCTTAAACGTGGGTTGATCAAAGAGTTGACCAGTTGTAGAACATTAGCCTCACTCGGTATAGGGCCCAGTGTTTTAAACACGAGGACAATATTTATATAAACCTTCCCCATCCTACCAAAGATGATAAAAAAACAGGAATGTAAAAACATTCAGACAACAACTGGCTTTTAGAAAATTAAACTGCAATAATTGCTCTTACAAAGTACGTGGAATAGTTGTGCTTGTCGTTAGAGTGCTGGCGGTCGTTAAGACTGTAAAATAAAGGACTAATTACTGGAGGAAAATTATGCTTTAAATTACAGTATTTGGTGTTTGTGGATAAATGTATTTAAAACATGTGTGGATGTGGTAATACCTCCATTCATTTTGAGAAGTTCCTTGACAAAGGTGCTGTTTGTGTTCATGTTACTTTGTGAGAAAACATATGAAACATTGGCCTGAATCATGGTGTCAGCATCCCTGTGGGGAGAATAAAACATGCAATGAATGTCAAAAGCAAACAACTTTTTCTCACAAGTCATCTACTCGCATACTAAAAACTACTCTCTGACAAATACAGATTGAGACATTTTTGCTCAAATTAAAGTAAAAAAACAAAACAAAACAATAACAAAGAAAACATTCAGAACTTACTTGAAATCAACTTGTTGGATATTAAACTGAGGAGCTGAGGGGTCATTTAGGATCTCAGTCAGCTGAAGAGTGGAGTAATAAATATAGAAATGAATGCATTTATTAAGGATAGAATAAGTCATATTCATTTTCAGGTGAAGTTTTTGTGGAAAAAAACACTGTATCAAAGTGTCTCCAACTCACCAACTTGTTTATAGAGGTTTGGATTGAAATGTATGTATCATTCCTGAGTTGAATTTTCTCCGACATGGATACATTGCTGATTTCAAATCCAAATTGGAGAGCATAGGAGGTATCATTAATTCCTTAAAATATATATATAAAAAAAATTAGTTGTGTGGTTATATGTGAGTGGTAAAACTGCATTACACATTCATTTTCAGAATTGTATAATTGACTGAAACATTTATTATTTTCCCTGAAAGAAAGCTATTGTTACAGGTCTACACTATTTACACTATTTGCAATAAAATGTCAAATTTAGAACAAAAAGGAGCCTACAGTGGAGAGAAATACTCACTTATAAAGGTGACATTATTAAAGCTCACATCCGAAGTTTGTGTTGAGCCACCTTTAGTTCTTAAACGTGGGTTGATCAAAGAGTTGACCAGTTGTAGAACATTAGCCTCACTCGGTATAGGGCCCAGCGTTTTAAACACGAGGACAATATTTATATAAACCTTTCCCATCCTACCAAAGATGATAAAAAAAAAAACAGGAATGTAAAAACATCCAGACAACTGGCTTTTAGAAAATTAAACTGTAATAATTGCTCTTACAAAGTACGTGGAATAGTTGTGCTTGTTGTCAGAGTGGTGGCTGTCGTTAAGACTGTAAAATAAAGTAATGATTAGTTGAGGATGCTTGCGGTTACACTATTTGGAGTAAGTGGAGCAATTCATTGTCAGTTTTGACAAACCTATCTGTGAACGAAGCTCATTTAGGAAGCTGACTGGTTGTATGTCATCTCCATCCTGGAAGGTGTATTCCATCCTAGCATCAATCTGGTTCGAAATGCTTCTGTGGGACAAACAGAATATATCTGTTAGGGACATCAATTGTAAAATGCACCTATTTTATGTATTGCTTTAAAATCTAAAAATTTGAGAGCAAATAATATAGAATAAGTCAGTTCCCATCTTACGTGAAAACAGATGACTTGGGTTTTAAAGTTTGACTGCTTGGTTCATTCAGAAGAGTGTTCAGCTGCAGGTAAAAATCAAATATTTTATTAAAATCTGGGGTCGATTTGCATGGGATCCAAACATCTAAATGGGTAAATGGTGAATTCTTACCGCATTACTGAAAATATCCTGTACTTGCAGGTAGGTGTTGTTTCTAAGGCCAGAGTCCTTTGGCATGCTGATGTGACTCATATTAAACTTAAGGATCACCACATAGGATGTTTCTGAAATTTCTGTTTATAAAGAAATGCTTTAGATTGTCTCAAAGCATGACATTCGCTTTTCTCTCATTCCCATATTTCAACCTTGAATGATGAAACTTACTCTGATAGGTGAAATTCTCCACCTTCACTGATTCATTGAGCTGTGACTGTCTGGATTTCAGGAGAGTGTTGATGGCACTGACGACCAGAGATTCACTCGGGACTGGAGATGAGGAGTTGAACAGCAGCTTGCTCGTGACCACTGCTGAACCAGATCTGTAAAGAGCACCGCTTTTCATTAATAAAGTTCCCTTTTTTGTGATAAATTTAGTACCCCATAAAAGGTTGCAAATAGTTTTGCCAATAGAAAATTAACACTTGCATTGGGCTTGGAGAAGTTGAGGGGAAACTGGTTATTGTGTCTGGAGACACTGTTGTAGTGGTCAGTTCTACAATGAAAGGCAGAAACACAATAAAACTCAGATTCAGAGCAAAGAGTTTTTTTTATTCATATATATATATATATATATATCGTGAGTTTTGACATACCCATCTGTGAACGAAGCTCATTTAGGAAGCTGACTGGTTGTATGTCATCTCCATCCTGGAAGGTGTATTCAATCCTGCCATCAATCTGGTTTGAAGAGCTCCTGCAGGAAAAATCAAAAAGATATTTGGAAAGAGTTTCAATTCATTTGTGCAATGCAGATTTATTGAAACATTCAAGCAAATGTAATTATTTTTACTTTTTTGCTTTTTTAATGTCCTAAAATCGAAAACTGAGTATAATGAATCAATAATTAGATTCCAAGATAGAAGTAAGATTGCATCTCACGTGAAGTTGGAGGACTTGGGTAGAAAAAATTGTTTCCCAGGTTCATTCAGAAGAGTGTTCAGCTGCAGGAGAAAATCAAACCATTCATCAAACTCTGGCGAAGATTGGCATTGGAACTAAATCTATTTACAGTGTTCATTTTTATGTATTTACCGCATTATTGATAATATCCTGCAATCTCTGGTCGGTGTTGCCTCTGACATCAGAATCTGCTGGCATGCTGATGTTAATCAGGCTAAATGTAAAGACGACAGCATAGGATGTTTCTGAGATTTCTGTTTGGAGAGAAATGTGACATTATTTTGGTTAAAAGGTTTCCATGAATGTTTGACTAAATACCATTGCAAAAGCATTTCAACCTTGAATGATGAAACTTACTCTGATAGGTGAAATTCGCCACCTTCACTGATTCATTGAGCTGTGACTGTCTGGTTTTCAGGAGAGTGTTGATGGCACTGACGACCAGAGATTCACTGGGGACTGGAGATGAGGAGTTGAACAGCAGCTTGCTTGTGACCACTGCTGAACCAGATCTGTAAAGAGCACCGCTTTTCATTAATATAATTCACTTTTTTGTGATAAATTTAGTATCCCATAAAAGGTTGCAAATAGTTTTGCCAATAGAAAATTAACACTTGCATTGGGTTTGGAGAAGTTGAGGGGAAACTGGTTATTGTGTCTGGAGACACTGTTGTAGTGGTCAGTTCTACAATGAAAGGCAGAAACACAATAAAACCGAGATTCAGAGCAAAGAGTTTTTTTTATTCATATAGATATATATATTGTGAGTTTTGACATACCCATCTGTGAACGAAGCTCATTTAGGAAGCTGATTGGTTGTATGTCATCTCCATCCTGGAAGGTGTATTCCATCCTGCCATCAATCTGGTTTGAAGAGCTCCTGCAGGAAAAATCAAAAAGATATTTGGAAAGAGTTTCAATTCATTTGTGCAATGCAGATTTATTGAAACATTCAAGCAAATGTAATAGCTTTTACTTTTTTGAACATAATGAATAAATAATTAGATTCCAAGATAGAAGTAAGATTGCATCTCACGTGAAGTTGGAGGACTTGGGTAGAAAAAATTGTTTCTCAGGTTCATTCAGAAGAGTGTTCAGCTGCAGGAGAAAATCAAACCATTCATCAAACTCTGGCGAAGATTGGCATTGGAACTAAATCTATTTACAGTGTTCATTTTTATGTATTTACCGCATTATTGATAATATCCTGCAATCTCTGGTCGGTGTTGCCTCTGACATCAGAATCTGCTGGCATGCTGATGTTAATCAGGCTAAATGTAAAGACGACAGCATAGGAGGTTTCTGAGATTTCTGTTTGGAGAGAATTTTGAATTTTTTTGGTTAAAAGATTTCCATTCATGAATGTTTGACTAAATACCATTGTAAAAGCATTTCAACCTTAAATGATGAAACTTACTCTGATAGGTGAAATTCTCCACCTTCACTGATTCATTGAGCTGTGACTGTCTGGATTTCAGGAGAGTGTTGATGGCACTGACGACCAGAGATTCACTGGGGACTGGAGATGAGGAGTTGAACAGCAGCTTGCTCAAGACCACTGCTGAACCAGATCTGTAAAGAGCACCGCTTTTCATTAATATAGTTCCCTTTTTTGTGATAAATGTAGTACCTCATAAAAGGTTGCAAATAGTTTTGCCAATAGAAAATTAACACTTGCATTGGGCTTGGAGAAGTTGAGGGGAAACTGGTTATTGTGTCTGGAGACACTGTTGTAGTGGTCAGTTCTACAATGAAAGACAGAAACACAATAAAACTCAGATTCAGAGCAAAAAGATTTTTTTTTTTTATTCATATAGATATATATATATCGTGAGTTTTGACATACCCATCTGTAAACGAAGCTCATTTAGGAAGCTGACTGGTTGTATGTCATCTCCATCCTGGAAGGTGTATTCCATACTGCCATTAATCTGGTTTGAAGAGCTCCTGCAGCAAAAATCAAAAAGATATTTGGAAACAGTTTCAATTCATTTGTGCAATGCAGATTTATTGAAACATTCAAGCAAATATAATTATTTTTACTTTTTTGCTTTTTTAATGTCCTAAAATCGAAAACTGAGTATAATGAATCAATAATTAGATTCCAAGATAGAAGTAAGATTGCATCTCACGTGAAGTTGGAGGACTTGGGTAGAAAAAATTGTTTCCCAGGTTCATTCAGAAGAGTGTTCAGCTGCAGGAGAAAATCAAACCATTCATCAAACTCTGGCGAAGATTGGCATTGGAACTAAATCTATTTACAGTGTTCATTTTTATGTATTTACCGCATTATTGATAATATCCTGCAATCTCTGGTCGGTGTTGCCTCTGACATCAGAATCTGCTGGCATGCTGATGTTAATCAGGCTAAATGTAAAGACGACAGCATAGGATGTTTCTGAGATTTCTGTTTGGAGAGAAATGTGACATTATTTTGGTTAAAAGGTTTCCATGAATGTTTGACTAAATACCATTGCAAAAGCATTTCAACCTTGAATGATGAAACTTACTCTGATAGGTGAAATTCGCCACCCTCACTGATTCATTGAGCTGTGACTGTCTGGAATTCAGGAGAGTGTTGATAGCACTGACGACCAGATATTCACTGGCGACTGGAGATGAGGAGTTGAACAGCAGCTTGCTCGTGACCACTGCTGAACCAGATCTGTAAAGAGCAACGCTTTTCATTAATATAATTCACTTTTTTGTGATAAATTTAGTATCCCATAAAAGGTTGCAAATAGTTTTGCCAATAGAAAATTAACACTTGCATTGGGTTTGGAGAAGTTGAGGGGAAACTGGTTATTGTGTCTGGAGACACTGTTGTAGTGGTCAGTTCTACAATGAAAGGCAGAAACACAATACAACCCAGATTCAGAGCAAAGAGTTTTTTTTATTCATATAGATATAGATATATTGTGAGTTTTGACATACCTATCTGTGAACGAAGCTCATTTAGGAAGCTGATTGGTTGTATGTCATCTCCATCCTGGAAGGTGTATTCCATCCTGCCATCAATCTGGTTTGAAGAGCTCCTGCAGGAAAAATCAAAAAGATATTTGGAAAGAGTTTCAATTCATTTGTGGAATGCAGATTTATTGAAACATTCAAGCAAATGTAATTGTTTTTACTTTTTTGAACATAATGAATAAATAATTAGATTCCAAGATAGAAGTAAGATTGCATCTCACGTGAAGTTGGAGGACTTGGGTAGAAAATTTTTTTTCCCAGGTTCATTCAGAAGAGTGTTCAGCTGCAGGAGAAAATCAAACCATTCATCAAACTCTGGCGAAGATTGGCATTGGAACTAAATCTATTTACAGTGTACATTTTTATGTATTTACCGCATTATTGATAATATCCTGCAATCTCTGGTCGGTGTTGCCTCTGACATCAGAATCTGCTGGCATGCTGAAGTTAATCAGGCTAAATGTAAAGACGACAGCATAGGAGGTTTCTGAGATTTCTGTTTGGAGAGAATTTTGAATTTTTTTGGTTAAAAGATTTCCATTCATGAATGTTTGACTAAATACCATTGTAAAAGCATTTCAACCTTAAATGATGAAACTTACTCTGATAGGTGAAATTCTCCACCTTCACTGATTCATTGAGCTGTGACTGTCTGGATTTCAGGAGAGTGTTGATGGCACTGATGACCAGAGATTCACTGGGGACTGGAGATGAGGAGTTGAACAGCAGCTTGCTTGTGACCACTGCTGAACCAGATCTGTAAAGAGCACCGCTTTTCATTAATATAGTTCCCTTTTTTGTGATAAATGTAGTACCCAATAAAAGGTTGCAAATAGTTTTGCCAATAGAAAATTAACACTTGCATTGGGCTTGGAGAAGTTGAGGGGAAACTGGTTATTGTGTCTGGAGACACTGTTGTAGTGGTCAGTTCTACAATGAAAGACAGAAACACAATAAAACTCAGATTCAGAGCAAAAAGATTTTTTTTATTCATATAGATATATATATATCGTGAGTTTTGACATACCCATCTGTGAACGAAGCTCATTTAGGAAGCTGACTGGTTGTATGTCATCTCCATCCTGGAAGGTGTATTCCATACTGCCATTAATCTGGTTTGAAGAGCTCCTGCAGGAAAAATCAAAAAGATATTTGGAAAGAGTTTCAATTCATTTGTGCAATGCAGATTTATTGAAACATTCAAGCAAATATAATTATTTTTACTTTTTTGCTTTTTTAATGTCCTAAAATCGAAAACTGAGTATAATGAATCAATAATTAGATTCCAAGATAGAAGTAAGATTGCATCTCACATGAAGTTGGAGGACTTGGGTAGAAAAAATTGTTTCCCAGGTTCATTCAGAAGAGTGTTCAGCTGCAGGAGAAAATCAAACCATTCATCAAACTCTGGCGAAGATTGGCATTGGAACTAAATCTATTTACAGTGTACATTTTTATGTATTTACCGCATTATTGATAATATCCTGCAATCTCTGGTCGGTGTTGCCTCTGACATCAGAATCTGCTGGCATGCTGATGTTAATCAGGCTAAATGTAAAGACGACAGCATAGGATGTTTCTGAGATTTCTGTTTGGAGAGAAATGTGACATTATTTTGGTTAAAAGGTTTCCATGAATGTTTGACTAAATACCATTGCAAAAGCATTTCAACCTTGAATGATGAAACTTACTCTGATAGGTGAAATTCGCCACCCTCACTGATTCATTGAGCTGTGACTGTCTGGATTTCAGGAGAGTGTTGATGGCACTGACGACCAGAGATTCACTGGGGACTGGAGATGAGGAGTTGAACAGCAGCTTGCTCGTGACCACTGCTGAACCAGATCTGTAAAGAGCACCGCTTTTCATTAATATAATTCACTTTTTTGTGATAAATTTAGTATCCCATAAAAGGTTGCAAATAGTTTTGCCAATAGAAAATTAACACTTGCATTGGGTTTGGAGAAGTTGAGGGGAAACTAGTTATTGTGTCTGGAGACACTGTTGTAGTGGTCAGTTCTACAATGAAAGGCAGAAACACAATAAAATCCAGATTCAGAGCAAAGAGTTTTTTTTATTCATATAGATATATATATTGTGAGTTTTGACATACCCATCTGTGAACGAAGCTCATTTAGGAAGCTGATTGGTTGTATGTCATCTCCATCCTGGAAGGTGTATTCCATCCTGCCATCAATCTGGTTTGAAGAGCTCCTGCAGGAAAAATCAAAAAGATATTTGGAAAGAGTTTCAATTCATTTGTGCAATGCAGATTTATTGAAACATTCAAGCAAATGTAATTGTTTTTACTTTTTTGAACATAATGAATAATTAATTAGATTCCAAGATAGAAGTAAGATTGCATCTCACGTGAAGTTGGAGGACTTGGGTAGAAAAAATTGTTTCCCAGGTTCATTCAGAAGAGTGTTCAGCTGCAGGAGAAAATCAAACCATTCATCAAACTCTGGCGAAGATTGGCATTGGAACTAAATCTATTTACAGTGTACATTTTTATGTATTTACCGCATTATTGATAATATCCTGCAATCTCTGGTCGGTGTTGCCTCTGACATCAGAATCTGCTGGCATGCTGATGTTAATCAGGCTAAATGTAAAGACGACAGCATAGGAGGTTTCTGAGATTTCTGTTTGGAGAGAATTTTGAATTTTTTTGGTTAAAAGATTTCCATTCATGAATGTTTGACTAAATACCAATGTAAAAGCATTTCAACCTTAGAAGATTATACTTACTCTGATAGGTGAAATTCTCCACCTTCACTGATTCATTGAGCTGTGACTGTCTGGATTTCAGAAGAGTGTTGATGGCACTGACGACCAGAGATTCACTGGGGACTGGAGATGAGGAGTTGAACAGCAGCTTGCTCAAGACCACTGCTGAACCAGATCTGTAAAGAGCACCGCTTTTCATTAATATAGTTCCCTTTTTTGTGATAAATGTAGTACCCCATAAAAGGTTGCAAATAGTTTTGCCAATAGAAAATTAACACTTGCATTGGGCTTGGAGAAGTTGAGGGGAAACTGGTTATTGTGTCTGGAGACACTGTTGTAGTGGTCAGTTCTACAATGAAAGACAGAAACACAATAAAACTCAGATTCAGAGCAAAAAGATTTTTTTTATTCATATAGATATATATATCGTGAGTTTTGACATACCCATCTGTGAACGAAGCTCATTTAGGAAGCTGACTGGTTGTATGTCATCTCCATCCTGGAAGGTGTATTCCATCCTGCCATCAATCTGGTTTGAAGAGCTCCTGCAGCAAAAATCAAAAAGATATTTGGAAAGAGTTTATAATTCATTTGTGCAATGCAGATTTATAGAAACATTCAAGCAAATATAATTATTTTTACTTTTTTGCTTTTTTAATGTCCTAAAATCGAAAACTGAGTATAATGAATCAATAATTAGATTCCAAGATAGAAGTAAGATTGCATCTCACGTGAAGTTGGAGGACTTGGGTAGAAAAAAATGTTTCTCAGGTTCATTCAGAAGAGTGTTCAGCTGCAGGAGAAAATCAAACCATTCATCAAACTCTGGCGAAGATTGGCATTGGAACTAAATCTATTTACAGTGTTCATTTTTATGTATTTACCGCATTATTGATAATATCCTGCAATCTCTGGTCGGTGTTGCCTCTAACATCAGAATCTGCTGGCATGCTGATGTTAATCAGGCTAAATGTAAAGACGACAGCATAGGATGTTTCTGAGATTTCTGTTTGGAGAGAATTTTGATTTTTTTTGGTTAAAAGATTTCCATTCATGTATGTTTGACTAAAAACCATTGCAAAAGCATTTCAACCTTAAATGATGAAACTTACTCTGATAGGTGAAATTCTCCACCTTCACTGATTCATTGAGCTGTGACTGTCTGGATTTCAGGAGAGTGTTGATAGCACTGACGACCAGAGATTCACTGGGGACTGGAGATGAGGAGTTGAACAGCAGCTTGCCTGTAACCACTGCTGTTGTTTGAGTTGTTGCAATGTTTGCAGTTGTTGCAGCTCCAGATTCAGTCATTGGAGTTACAATTGTAGTTGGGGAGTCACCAGTTGTTGACATTGACAATGACATAGTGGTTTCTTGAGTAACAATTATGAGTGTTGATGCACTGGTTGCAGTGGTCGCTAAAGACATAGTGCTATGAGCTTCAAATGTATTTGGAGCTGGATTTTGTGTCGCTGAAATTTGAGTTGCATTTTGTAAAGATGTTGTTGTCATAAATGTTGTAATTTCTGAGAATGTTGGCATGGTTGTGGTAGTGAAAAATGTTGTTGTGGTAGCAGGTCTGGTTGTTGTCGTGAAAAGTGAAGAAGTTGAAGATAGTGATGTGGTTTGAGAATCATTTTCTGTTGCTGGAGGTGCAGTTATAGGTGCTGAGAATAGGGGCGTATTTGTGGGAGTCACAGCTGTGGTTGTTGAAGCTTCAGTTGTTGAAGATTGTGCTGTTTTTGATGGAGCAGCATTTGTTGCTGTAGTTGGTGAGGATGTGACTGTGGTTGGGGGTGTCATAGCTGTGTTTGTAGATTCTTCCTTTGTTGATGTGGAAGCGGCTGAATCTGTGGTTGTTGAAGATTCAGTTTCTGTTGTCATTGAAGATGACACTGTGTTTGAACCTGTAACTGCTGTTGTAAATTCTGTAGAAGCTTCATTTGTTTTTGTAGATACCGTTGATGTTGAATCCGTAGTTGTAGGAGGTGTAGTTGTGAAAGTCACAGATGTACATTTTTGATTTAGTTTGGGTGTCATAGCTGTGGTAATGGATGCTTTAGTTTTTATAATACAAACTTCACTGGTTGTTTGTGAAACCGGTGTTGTTGGTGCAGTTGTAGTTGGGGAGGATGTACCTCCACAAACGGTAGACCATACACATACTGTCAAGAAAAAAGAAACAAACATATGTCATCATTACCTTGATGTTTTAAAATTTTATTTAGACAACTTTTGATATGGATGAACATTATTTAATAGCTCTTGATTACATTTGTTATTTTCTTTATTTGATCAATTTCTCAGCAAATAATATCCATATTTAATGTAGAGTATACTTACATATGGTGAGAAAAACTGTCCATCTGGCATTTTTTGAAATGAAACACCCCCTTAAAAAAAATAAAAAAAAATAATAATAATGTTATGTCTTTAAGCAATTTCAAAACATTTACATTCAAAGAGCTTTATGAGTTATGTGCTATATTTTTTCTGTTGCAGAATTACCGATCTACAAATGATACATCTTTGTAGTAATAAATCTATGTAGTAAACTTTCCTTTAGAGAAGATTTAAAGAACTAAAATTGTGAAAAATTGTCAGGTTTTCAGAGAAACTGAAACATTTTACCTACTAACTCTGTCACAAACACAGTAGATCTGAAAAGGTTTAAACTGAGGCATCTATGACAAACATGCTTTTATATTTCTAAAAAGCCAGGTCGAATTACATGGACCAGTTTTCAAAGTACTATTTGATACATTTTTTATGCTTATGTCTCAAAATTTCCTTCTATGTTGAAATATTTATCAAGACATGTATTTGCATGTCATTGTCTGAAGCAGCTCATTTGGCATTTAAAATGTATATAGTTCTATTGGTTCTTGCATTCCCTGGGAATAAAACCCATGATCTTGATATCAAGTTATATTGTTTGTGCTACAGGAATGCACAGAGCTTTCAAACAAACACTGAAACAGATTAAGTGTGGATTACAGACAAAAAGACATAAGGCACTGCGGTGCCATCCCAATCCGCATTACATTAATACTTGGTTGAGATCAAGCCGTCACAATATAACTGTGTGAGTTTCAGATTCATGATATATTTTGTAGTAGTTCTGTATAATAAAGTAAATAGTCATTATTCAGAAGAGCTAAACTTTGAATTAGTCACACAACTCTCAGCATGTATGCCCTAAATTTAGATGAAAGCTGTTCCTAATTAACACAGAGAAAATTACTGATACAGATGACGATGAAAAAAGTGATTTGTTTCATAACTCTTTTGGTATAGATTTAAGCAGTTGTGTGATCCCCTCTGCTCTACACAATACTAATGCTAATGCTACAAACAAAGTACCCTTTTGATAACCAAATATATAGCCTCAATACACACTTTTGCCAAATACAGTGGACTATACCCAACAACCTACAGTATCCAAATGTTACAAATACCCCTGCATCGCATTTATTGGACTTTAGTTCACTTCAGGTGAAGTGGTCAATTGCTTATTTAGGGATTATTAGGGTTGGCTGCCTCTGCTTGTTGACGTTAACACTAGTGGAGTATGCTTCCTTTACTTGTTTGTTCATTTTAGTAGTTTGGACTTTTTTCATGATCTGTTTTCATGTTATATGTTGGGTATTTTTAAATATAGGATTTGAATAGACTTTTAACTATTGATCTATTTATGATTATTATTTATTATTTATATATTTATTTACTTGTTTATTTATTCATTTATCTATCTATCTCTGTGTATCTGTCTATCTAGCATTCTATCTTTCTCTCTGTCCATAAATCCTATAAATCTTAAAATTTTAAGTTTTTAGTCACACTTTATAATAGGTGTATTTAAAGGGGAAATGAAGCAGTCAATCAAGTTTACATGATTTACAAGACGGATTTCCACTATAATCAACAATTATATAAGAAACATGACAAATGTAAACAACGAATGAAACAAATTGAATTGGGGTACTAAGAATCATGTAAACTTGATTGACTGCTTCTTTTCCCCTTTAACTACTATGTACTTACAAAAAAAATAAGTAGACTACAATGTACTTATTGTGTTCATATTGTATTGCCAAACACTTTTGCTGCTATTGATGTGGGGATAGAGGCTCATCAACAGTGTAATCATAGATGTAATTATTGAATTACAGTGTTATTACATATGTAATTACAGAAATGAATTACAGCTATAATTACATCCAGGTATTTAAATAATATATATATATAAGTACAATGTAAAAACATGGATGTACACAATAAGTGCATTGTATCAAATTATTAATTGTAATGTTAGTACATAGTAGTTGACAAACTTTGCTTTTCTAGTTAAAAAATGTGATCCAATGTTTTCAATGCACTTTAATTTTGCTTCCTTAGTACCCCAATTCAATTTCAATTCAGATTCAAACATTTTATTGTAATTTAAAAGGCATTCCAAATTCAATTTTGAATGGTGCACAACCCTCCTTTGATATAAAGTTGATACAGGTTGACAACAAATCATACAAGCAGATACAGGGGCTAATGTAATCATATAACATATTTACAAATTATACATTGAATAAAGTATTATATAGTATTATAAGCTACATTATGTCAATCAATTCATATATAAGATTTAGCCTACCTCCATATGCTGTTCAACGTCATTACCATGTACACCAAACGGTATTGCAGAGGTCTATGTGATTTGTCTTCTTAGTTCACAAGTGAAAAACTGAATAGTGCAATTTTGGGTGATACTATATCAAAGGAAGATTGACGTCTGTAGGGTGTGGTAAAAAGTGTCGTTCAGTGACCAAACCCTGTAGTACGCAAGACAGAAGCATACTGATGGAATCATTCTCACAATGAAGGGTGTAAATACAATGCTGACTACTGCTAAGGTGAATGTCAAGAATTCATTTCTGCCAGGATGATAAAAGGTGTTTTGGTGACAATAAAGTGTCTATTTTGATGAAAGATAAATAAATAAATATAAGGTAAAATAAAACCTGAAAGAATTTATGAAATGGATGAACAATAAACCAGAATAAATCAGATTTTATTTGCTACACACATTACATAATCAGTGGTCCTAATTGTTGAAGAAGCCTATAAATGTTTCATTATAAAAAGTTAAAGTTTGTTATTAAATGATGTTTTAACAGAGACAATTTAAAAAGCTATATTGTCAGTAACAATGATTTAATTAAAACAAAAGGGGGGGGGGGGGGGGGGGGGATTTATTTATTTATTTATTACTAATATTTTTATTTGAATAGTACATTAATTGTGATACTATGAATGATTTATACATTTGATCTCATGTTTAATAGGTTAATTTAATAATTGTGTGAACAGTATATTGATTTTAAAAATAGATTTAGGGTGCGTCTCAATGTTTCTTTCATGCATACGCACAGATGGACGTCTATCAGATAAAAATTGGATTGCTCTCATGTTTTGTTCTCATACTGGTAATAAGGTGTGTCTTGGAATGTTCAACAAAGTACACACAACCTACATAAACAAAACAGAGGTTATTTGGAATGAACAATCACTAGGCCTAATTTTATTTACAACAATACAACAGTGTATCAACTGACTTGTAACATAAAGCAAGCGCTATTAAAGATTTAACTAATAATTGCTTTTCTGTCATTTTAATCACTTCTGAATCAACCATCTTAGGCTAGCTGTTCGCACCGCTTCTTCACGTGCTATAAAGGTTACAGCGTCTTGTAACTTGCCTTATTGAACGGCTTGTAAAATAAAGCCAGATGATAGACTATTAACTGAGCATAATTTACAAGACATTTTCTAATTATATAGTCCTGTTGATCAATGTCATGTGCGATTTCATGCCAGTAAAAGCCAGTGAATAGATGTGTGACTTTCAGATTTTCAAAGTTGCTCAGAGTCACAAATAGGTCCAGCCTAGCTATAATATGAAAACACACACACACACACACACACACACAAAACATCATTATAAACAAGGGGAAAACCATAAGAAAATGTGTAGCCTAAATATATAAATAATCATAAGCATACAAAGTGTAAACCATTTAGTCAAATTGTTGACCATTTACTGCTACACAGGTTGTGTAGCCTAAATATATAAATAATCATCTAAGCATAAAAAGTGTAAACCATTTAGTCAAATTGTTGACCATTTACTGCTACACAGGTTCATACTATATTTGATTATTCACTGTTTGTGGACATGCAGACAATTCAGTTCACATGCCAAAAAAAAAAAAAAAAAAACCTATTATTTTCCTCTGATGTCAAACTTCAATCAAAAGTGACAACCTCTGAAGAGGGAGTAGACTGCCCTGAGTACAAATATCTCACTTGGGATGGGCCAAGTGCAAAGATTTAGCAATAGTTGCAGGTTCACTCCTATTTTTAGATTATACAGGCAGCTGTCAATATTGAATTTGTCTAATTATTATTGTTCATTTATAATTTATTATAATATCATGTACTATATTACTTACATTATGAATAAAACTATAATAACTGAATGGCTCAAAAAAAAAAACAAAAAAAAAAAGCCTGAAGCAGAGACTTCAGCGCCCTTCCATGGAAGATCTGGGTTTTTTGAAAGACGTTTTTTTTTATGCACAATAAACTAAACCAGTTTGACCAGCTTTCGTGGTATGCAGTTTAATGTGTACAAATACTGGAGTATTAATAATAGTTTATTTTCATTAATATTAGTATATTTATAGTATGTTGTATATATTATTTATTAATATATAAATTAAATTACGTTTTACCCCTCTATCTGCCTGACCTTATATCTTGTAGCCTCTATTAGGGTTTTATATAAAATATAAAAATAAAAACTCAACAGTATGTTGCCAATTAAGTACTTTTTTATTGACAAGTGAAATTGAAGCAAAAATGACAGTGTTAGTTATTAGCTGAATACATTATAAAAGACAAATGACACTGAACATGAATAAATACGTAAAGAACAAAAACAAAATAGAAACAGAAAGAAGATGTGAAGACCAAGTTCCAGGGAAATATCTTTACAATTCTCTATGATGCCTTTACATCATTATGAGTATTTTTTTGTGTAATTCAGTGGCAGTTTCAAGTCCAGTCAAGTCAGCTATTATTTTTGTAGTACATATAAAAACAACAGAGTTGACCTTTACAGATCAAACAATCAAAAAAATTCATTTTAAAATGAAATATAACGCATAATAAAATAAATTAAAACATTTAAATACAACATCATGTATTAATCCACTTTAACTTATTCAATCTGTTCAAAAGCCACAGAAAAAAAGATATGTTTTTAAAGAATATTTAGAAATGGCTAATGGTGAAGTTTACGCCACATGGAAAGAGAGACTATTTCATAACTTAGTACCTACCATACCAAAGGCACGGTCACCCTTTGATCTATAGCGGTAATGAGGAACCTATAGCGGTAGTTTCGAAACAGTTATGACGTACTGAAGCCTCGTTTATTGAAATCACGTGACTCTGGCAGTTTGAAACACACTCCGAACCATTGATTCGGAACAAACAATTTGTAAAGGCTTCAAAGCTTCATGAAGCAGTGTTTTGAAATTGCCACCACTAGTCCTGATCTACTGTCTGGTTTGTGATTACGTCTCTGATCTGCCTGATACATCCCTGTCACTGTTGATTGAACCCTGCCTGTTTGTTATACGAGGGATAGCCTGTTTGCTATCCCAACCCTTTCACGCGTACACCAGGCCGATCTGCTGGGGGATCTCGACCAGGGGGTAGGGCCCCTGAGGCGGTTACTGAGCTGCGCCGCAAATTAAAAAATGTATATATAGCTCTCCGGGATGGTGACGATACTGGCCACGGAGAGACATTTGTGGTTGAACCTGGCCGACATCGGGAAGAAAGAGAAAGGCTTTCTCCTCGATTCGCTGGTTTCTCCCTCTGAGCTTTTCGGCACCTCCGTGTTGGCGGTGGTTGGAAAGTTCAGAGAGGCGAAGGCGCGCTCAGCTGTATCCAGGACATACATACCGCTGAGATCCGTGTCCAGGCCCAGGCAGATGGGAGGGCCTGGTCTATCATGGTCCGAGGACCTTAGATGAGGCCAGAGAGCCAGTGTCACCTCTCGTGCGCCTCCTCCGTGGAGTAGTAGGTCGCAGAGGAGGCGCGACTCCCACAAGAAGAGGGATCTGAGGGAGGTGATCCGGCACAAACGCACGTTGCGTCTGTCATGGACCATCTTCCCTGAGGGCGTGATTATATCTTAGCCCTTTCCTCTCTTCCCCGACTCCCCAGGCGCTTCTTACATCAGGCCTGAGGCTGGGCTCATGGTTAGAACAATGTTCTGATGGCCCGCCTCGGCTTGGTTAGTGAGAGTGCCTCTTTCAGGTATGTAGAGGTGGTAGACCCCATGCACTCTAAAAATTGCTGGGTTAAAAACAACCCAATTGGCAACCCAGCGCTGGGTAAATATTGGACAGAACACATGCTGGGTTAAATTGACCCAGTGACATTTCAACCCAGCAGGCTGGGTTGTTGAGAAAACCCAAGATGTAGTCATTTTTTACCATTAATGGATTTGCTATTCTGGGTTATTTTTGCTGGGTTATTCTTATAATTTCACCTGTGCTTTACTGTAAAACTATGAATTAATAAATAATGAAATAAGAACATGTTAGACTGTCAAAATAATCTTTTTTAATGCTTGTCAACTGACATTCACAAACGTGTTAAAATTGGAAGCACATTAAATGCAAAAATCATTTAGTGCTGCAAAGTTAAATATTGTCATATTTTAATAAATAAATACAATTAGTTCTAAAACCATGGTTTAAATACAGTGACATTGACAATAATATTTTAAAGTCAGCGAATGCAAAGTCATTTAAAAATACATCAAGTATTATAGTCAAATACTGTCATGGTTTTGCCTGCTTATCTGTGTATTTTCCTAGTATTGTGGCAGGACCATGACAGACCCATGTTTTGTGTACAAGCGCATGGCCAATCGTCAGGGCCATGTGCTTGTGTTGTCTTATTACCAGTTCCCGCCCCCCTTGTTATCCCTGTCTTGTCATCATTGAATAGTTGTTATCACCTGTCTTGCTCATTAGTGGTTCCCTATGTAATCCCCGTGTTCTCTCTGTCTTTTGTTGGTTCATTGTTTAAACACTGTCTGATGTCTAACCTTGTTGGTTCTTTGTCTATTGAGATTACTCCGTGAAACCTTTGTCATCCGTGTCTTGATCCTTGTCTGTCGTTCGAGTTGTGAGTTCCTGTATTATCAGTTTATCCTGTCCTGTTTTGCCCCATCGTGGGTTTTACTTTCTGTTTTGTCGTCATTAAACCTTGTTTGAGTTACTCGCTGTCTGCATTTGGGTTCGTTCCTCACCACATCATAACAGAATGAACCGACCATAACTAGATAACAGAAGAACGGGCCAAGAGAATGTCAGGACGTTCGTTTGAGGGAACCCGTCTGGTCAGATTTCGTGGGACCCGCGGAGGCCGCAGTAGAGGCGGTGGTCGTGAGGAGTCATCGTTTTCACCTTCTGCTCGACTGCCGGTTATCCCTGAGGGTCTCCGGATAGGGGTCGCGATGTTTGGAAGCCCGGTTGACTCTTCCATGACTCCTAGAGCTCCGTCCACCCCTTTTGATCTCCGTGGAAAACGAGGGAGGCGGATCTCATGGGAATCCCCATCAGAGACGTCCTCTACGGAATCAACCCAGCCTGAGAGGACCGTTCCTCTGCCGCCTGTCTCGGACCCGA